ATTAACAAAATGAAGGTTCTCTCTCTCTTTTTGTTTGTTTGTTTGCAAGGTAGAACCTGCAATTGTTGCCCAATCCTCTTTATTTTTATTGTGCTGCACTGTCAGAATATAAACTTGAATTCTCTGACAAGACCACATGTATTCTAATGTTAGTAGCTCTACTTCGCAGGGGACTAGTTTTTTTTATTATCTAGAGACTGGGGATTAAACTCTAGATCTGTGGGGGGACTAGTTGTTTTAGAAAGATATAAAACCTTTAAACAGTTCCTACCTCTCTCTTCAGCCTCTTATTGTCTATCTCAGAGGTGAGACCTGATAAAAATCTCTGTTTTGAATTTGGATCCTGTTTCTTGCACTTATTTCTTGTGATCATTTCACCATAGTAGCATTGGTTATTTTTATGAAACAGGAAATGCTGTTTTGGTCATCTTATGTTTTTGCTAATCTGTTAAGCTTATATCCCAAGACGGATAGATAAATACAGCCTCTGCTGATTAAAAGAATCTCAAGTCAAAATCTTTCCAGTGGTTATCAATTCTCAGATGTATACTGCTATCTTTGAATTTCACCACGGTCTTTGAAGAGGTATCCAGCATGAATGCACTCACACCTAGAAATGGGGTAAAAAGCTAGAAGAGCTTTTATCACAAATCAGATCACCAAGACAGGTTAGAAACTCTCCCTTGCCATGAACATGACTTTTTAAAAAGAGGAATGATTTGATCATGTCCTAGGAATGCTCACTTTGCAACTGCTTTAACAAATGTATAGAATGTGGATTAGCTTCCCTTTTGTTATGTTTTCATTAAAAAATCATGCCTTTACAATTTAGAAAATTTGCAAATTCTATATCTTTATTCAACCCTTTTTTTTAAAAATTAATTAAGAATGCTATAAGTGACAGAGATTGCTGAACAAGTTGCAGCTAGAAAGCAATACTAGAGGCACTCAGTTTCTCCCTTGTATAATTGAGGCTCTCAATATCTATATATCTCACCACGCCTTGCATTTCATTAAATTTGTGCCATTTTTGCAGGTCATGCAAAGGAATTAAGATTGATGACAAGAAAAAGAGATTCTTGCTGCATGGCAAGCCCCCAGCAAGGTTAGGAATCTCTATATTATGATTGAACAACTCAAGCTTACATTTATTCCCTTTCATAATTTGATTGAATGCTATGCATGCTACACACAAACTCACTAGCATTCTAAGGAGGGAAACTATCGACAAAGAACACTAATCTGCATGGGAATTTTCCCTTGCATACATGTCAAGATACATTCACTGTCTTTGATTTACTTAATTGTTATGAACAACAAAACTCCTTTTACAGCCCCAAAAATAAGGCAGGGAGCTCCCACCAAGACAAATGAAGTGAGGACTGACAATCCCAATCCCAACAACCTTTTTGGATGCACTAAAGCTCAGAAGTAGGGCAAGGAAGATGAAGGTGTTCTCCTTTTGCGCACCAGAAGAGATTCAATCTCAAAACAGAATGCAATATTTGATCCCTAGAAACTCTGATTAATAAACTCTTCCCTGCTCCATTGCCATGTACGTGCTTAGGGCAGATGTATGATGTTAGTGCATTTCAATGCACTTTTTATTTTTTGACAAATTTGATGAGAGGTTATATATAAGAGGGAATAAGTTGAGACACCCCTTATGGCTACTTTCAATGCACATTGCCTACTTTGTTAGTATTTTACAAACTGAAGGGCCCATACTTTGCTAACTACAGAAACATGAGTGAAGTATACTCTCTGATAATCCCATTACAATTCTCTGATTAACCTGTTTACCTTGACCAAGCTAAGATCAAAATGACACCAAAGCATGTGCTTCACTTGGTATTGGTACTGGTATGGGTACACATCTGAAGTCAGCTAGCTCCTCTCAGTCCAAGCTTCTCTTTTGTCTGAACTTGACACATGTCATTCTTGTAGCTCTCTTCAAATTGAAGCAACTCTTCAATTTGGATAAGACT